AGCCCTAGGCCATTCTATCCTCCAGGTGGATAACTTCACTCGACCCCTTCGTGGTCGTCGTCATCGCCTCTTCGCGTTGTGAAGGTCATGTTTCATGGTAGGTCCCTTCCCTCTTCAGTTATTCTTCCTGGTTCCAGATGCTCCATTCAGGAGTACATCCTGCTCTCCTCGCCTCTGCAGCAGGTGCTGGAGATTTGGGCATGGTCCCTTCAGGTGCACAAGTTAGGTGTCTCTCTTTCCCTTGTGTGGAACCTCAAGTCATTCCAAGGTGGAGTGCCCTTATTCCCAAATTCTTTGCATCAATTGCGGTGACGTACACCATGCCTTCTCCCACGCATGTGTGCATTTCAAATTTTAAGAAGTCATCCTCAATTTGAGGCATCGTGATCATTTCTCTTTTCCTAAGGCTAGGCACCAGGTGCACCCTCTTTCATCTTTTTCTGGTATGTCTTATGCTCATGTGTTGCGTTCTCCTTCTTCTCACCCTCTCCCACTTTTTCAGTTTCGCAACCGTTTCGAGGCCTTGGACACCAATAGCTCCACCTCGTGTGCTCCGTCTGCTTCTTTGCATTCTGGGCCAGAGGGTCATCTTCCTGGTTCTCCGTCTGGTGTTTTCTTCCTTCCCTCCTTCCTGGTCTTCCTCGTCTCCTGTGCTCCACCATTACGTCCGAAACTCCTCTGCCACAGATCTGGAAGCGTATCCGCAAGATAATGGGTAAGTTCGTTCCCGATGTCTCGCCGGTCCTTTACCTCCATGGTACTCTTGTGGCGGACCCATTGCAGGTCGCGACCGAATTGGGTTCCCACTTTTCTTCTGTTAGCTCCGGTTCTCATCTTCCTCAATCTTTCCTTCTTCATAAATCTGTTCTTGAATCTCGTCCTTTAGATTTCTGCAGTCATCTTAGACTTCCCAATCTCCCTTCTCTCTCTCTGAACTTCAGTCTGCCCTGGCCCTCTGCGGTTCTAGTCTCAGTATTTACTGAGATGTGCATCCCCTAAGGATTTCCACCCTATTGCCATCACGAGTTGCATCTGAAAACTCTTTGAACGTATAGTTAACGTTAGTCTGATGTGGTTCTTAGAACACTATCACCACCTCTCCCCTTCTCAATTTGGTTTTCGCAAGTGCCGCAGCATAACAGATGTCCTGAAGAACTTGACGGTCTATATTCATAGTGCTTTTGCTGCGAAGACCTACGTTGTTGCCGTCCATTTTAACATGGAAAAGGCTTATGACACCACTTGGCGATATCATATTCTGTCCCAACTTCATTCTTTTGGCCTTCGTCGTAATCTCCCTCTCTTTCTCCAAAGCTTCTTCTCTCGTCGTTCCTTTCGGGTGAGGCTTGGTACCACTCTTTCTGCCACTTTTCAGCAATACGAAGGTGTGCCACAAGGTAGTGTTCTCAGCACTACTGTTTTTCTGGTTGCCCTCAATGGTCTTCTTTCCTCTCTTCCTTCTGGCGTCTTCTTCGCTCTCTATGTCAACGATCTTGCCCTTTGCTGTCGGGGTGATGATTCGCCACTCCTTCAACGGCGGCTTCAACTTACGATTGATGCCATGTCATCTTGGGCCACTCATCATGGCTTCAAGTTCTCTGTAACTAAGACTTGTGCCATGACTTTTACTCGGAAGCGTGTCGTTCTTCGTCCCTCTTTGTCGCTTTATGGTCATCCCCGTGTATAAGGATTCCACTAAGCTTTTGGGGTTAATCTTTGACACTCGTTTGTGTTGGTCGCCCCATATCTCTTACCTCCGAGTTGAATGCTCTAAGGCCCTTACCCTCCCTAAGGTATTGCCCATACTTCTTGGGGAGCGGACAGGCGCACTCTCCTCGCTTTACATTCCTCTCTCGTCCTGTTTAAACTCGATTATGGTTGCCCTGCTTATCATCTGCTTCCCCTTTTACTCTTCACCATCTTGATGCTTTGCACCATACTGGGTTGCACCTCAGCTCTGGTGCCTTTCGTTCGACTCCCGCCCTCAGCTTGTATGTTGACTCTGGCTTCTATCTCTCCAGGACCGCCAGGATCGCTACTGTCTTCGCTATCTTGCGCGGTCCTTGCAACATCCTTCCTCTCACCTCTGTCGTACTCTAACTTTTACTCCTCTTGTGGTTCCTGTTCCTCTTCACCACCTACCTCTTTCTGTCCGGTTATCTCGCTTACAGGGTTCTCTTTCAGTTCGTATTTTCAATGTTTCTCCTCGTGTTGTTCCTTCCTTGCCCCCGTGTAGAGTCCCCCTTCCGAAGTTTTGTACATCCTTGACCCACATCACTAAAGCTTTCGCCCCTCCTACGGTTCTAAAATGCCTTTTCCTTGAGCACTTTTCTTCGCACTCTCTCTCCGTTTCCATCTTCACTGATGGGTCTAAATTATGTGTCGTCTACCTTTGAAGACTAGCATCTTCATAGCAGAACTTTATGCTATTCTCTATGCTCTTTGTCTCCTGATTTCTTGTTATCAATCTTCTTTTGTAATTGTCGTTGACTCTCGTAGTGCCCTCATGGCTCTTGAGTCTTTTAATCCGGTCCATCCAGTGGTTGTCGAGATTCAGCATTGGCTGTTTCTTATTTCCAGTGAATTTAAGTCAATTGAGTTTAGCTGGGTTCCCAGCCATGCAGACGCTGCCGCTAGGGAAGCTGTCCACTCTTGTCCCATCTCCAGTAAAGTTATTCCTTATTCCGACTTTTACCAGTTATTCATTCATCCATCCTTACCCGTTGGCAGGTTTGTTGGTCTTCTGTTACTGGTAACAAACTGCGTACTCTTAAGAGTTGTGTGTCCTCGTGGCCGTCCTCCTATCACCGTAACCGTCGATGGGAAACGGTTCTGGTGAGGATGTGTATTGGCCATACTCGCTTAACTCACTGACACTTAATGGAGCGCCGCCCTGTTCCTTATTGTCCAAATTGCATTGTCCCTCTTACGGTCGTGCATATCCTTGTTGAATGTCCTGACTTTCAGGACGAGCATTTGTCTTGCTTTCCGATCGTCCCTCATGGTCTCTTGTCCCTCGATAGAATTCTTGGTGAATCGGATACTTTTGATATCGTTCGTCTTATGTGTTTCTGTTCTCGTATTGACATCCTTTTTTATATTTAGCGCCCTCTGATTATTCCGCACATTTGATGGTGCTACATAGCCTTCCTGGTTTGGTGCCTTCTTTTTATGATTACTTACTTATTTGTCCCATGCTTACTGGGGAGCTGATATGCGCATACTCCTCACTTTACATCCCTCTCTTGAGCTGTCGAAACTCGATTATGGCTGTCTTGCTTACTCGTCTGCCTCTCCCTCCACCCACTGTCGTCTTAATGCTCCTCATCATACTCACCATTGCTCAGTCTTAGCTCTGGTGCCTTTCATTCAACCCTATTCAAAGCCTGAATGTTGAGACCGGCATCCTGTCTCTACAGGATCGGGGTGATTGCTACTGTCATTGCTACTTTGTGCGGTCCCCACAACACCCTCACTCTTTCTTATGTGGTACTTTGATCATTACCCCTCGTGTGGGGCCCTGTTCCCTTTCACCACCTTCCCTTTTCTGTACGGTTGTCTTGCTTGCAAGGTTCCCTCTCGTTTGGTGTTGCCAATGTTTCTCCTCGTGTCATTCCGTTCTTGACCCCATGGAGGGTCCCTCTTCCTAACTTTTGCAGAACCTTGACCTGCATGACTAAAGCTTTTACCTCTCCTACAGTTCTGAAACGCCTTTTCCTTGCTCTCTTTTCCTCACACTGCTGTTCCATCTGTTTTCACAGATGAAGTCTGCTGACAATGTGGGCTACTCCGTTGTGTTTCGTGACTACACCTATATGTGAGGTTATCTTGAGATGATTTCGGGGCTTAGTATCCCTGCAGCCCGGTCATCGACCTGGCCTCCTTTTTGTTACACACTCCCTCAAGAAGCAGCCCATAAGAGCTGTTTAACTACCAGTTACTTATTTACTGCTAGGTAACAGGTGCATCAGGGTGAAAGAAACATTTTGCCCATTCTTCTCCGCCTCCACCGGGGATCGAACCCAGAACCTCAGGACTTCGAATCCGAAGTGCTGTCCACTCAGCTGTCAGGCGTCCTCGCTTGCTTTCAGAGACTAGCATCTTAACGGCTGAACTTTATGCAATTTTGTTTGCTCTTCGTCAACTGCTTTCTCGCTGTAATTCGTCCTTTGGTGTTGTAGGACTCTCACAGTACCCTCAGGGCTCTGGAGTTCTTTAATCCTGTCCATCCTGTGGTCGTCGAAATTCAATATTGACTGTTTCTTATCTCCAGCAGATTTAAGACAGTCGAGTTTTACTGAGTTCCCAGCCATATTGGCGTGTCCTTAAATGAGCGTGTGGACACTGCCGCTAAGGAAGCTGTCCGCATTTGTCCCATCCCTCGTAAAGGTATTCCTTATTCCGACTTCTACCCAGTTATTCATTCCTCCATCCTTACCCGTCGGCAGGCTCGATGGTTACTGGTAACAAGATATGTGCTCTTATGGGGTAGTGTGTCCCCATGGCCTTCCTCCAGCCACCGTAACCGGCGGTGGGAAACAGCTCTGGCAAGATTATGTATTGGTCATACCCGCTTAACTCACGGACACTTAATGGAGCGCCACCCTGCTCCTTATTGTCCGAATTGTATTGCCCCCTCTTTTATCCTTGTTGCATATCCTTCTTGAGTGTCCTGACTTCCAGGACGTGTGTGTCTTGCTTCCCGACCGTCCCTCGCGGTCATTTTCCCTTGATAGTATCTTTGGTGAATCTTATATCTTTGATGCTGTTTGCCTTATGCACTTTGTTCTCGTATTGGCATCCTTAGTGATATTTAGGGCATTTGAATATCCCGCAATTTTGATGGTGCTGCAGAGCCTCCCCGGCTTGGTGCCTTCTCTTCATAATTATTTACTTACTTGTTATATTCTTATTTTGGTCAATAAAGGAGACAATAATCTACTATAGTCAGTAGATGAGATAAGGTATATATAGTACAAGGGACTAATAATATACAGACAGACAGGTTACACACTTTATATGCCAGCCACTGTAAGATACACGATACACAGTCACTGTAAGATACACGATACACAGTCACTGTAAGATACACGATACACAGTCACTGTAAGATACACGATACACAGTACTGATGCCACACCCGGCCTTCCTGGGAATATGACACATGTCATATATATTGTCATCACACTTCCCTGGAAATAAACATTCGACTCCCATGTGCTCTAGGAGACTCGAACCCAGAAATAGACTCGGTGGAACACTGGACTTTTGGAGTCCAGTGTTCGAGTCTCCTAGAGCCCAGGTACATGGAATGACATGTCAACTGTCAGATCCCAAGCCTTGACGTGTTTGTAGCTTGTTTAATGGACACGTGTTACGACATGTTATTGACATGTCGTAACACGTCATGAAGCGTCATGACACGTCATGAAGCGTCGTGGCACGTCTTGAAGCGTCGTGACACGTCATGAAGCGTCGTGACACGTCATGAAGCGTCGTGGCACGTCATGAAGCGTCGTGACACGTCATGAAGCGTCGTGACACGTCATGAAGCGTCGTGGCACGTCATGAAGCGTCGTGACACGTCATGAAGCGTCGTGACGCGTCATGAAGCGTCACACGTCATGAAGCGTCGTGACACGTCATGAAGCGTCGTGGCACGTCATGAAGCGTCGAGACACGTCATGAAGCGTCGTGACACGTCATGAAGCGTCGTGACGCGTCATGAAGCGTCGTGACACGTCATGAAGCGTCGTGGCACGTCTTGAAGCGTCGTGACGCGTCATGAAGCGTCGTGACGCGTCATGAAGCGTCGTGACACGTCATGAAGCGTCGTGACACGTCTTTGAGCGTCGTGACACGTGATGAAGCGTCGTGACACGTCATGAAGCGTCGTGACACGTCATGAAGCGTCGTGACACGTCATGAAGCGTCGTGACGCGTCATGAAGCGTCGTGACACGTCTTTGAGCGTCGTGACACGTCATGAAGCGTCGTGGCACGTCTTGAAGCGTCGTGACGCGTCATGAAGCGTCGTGACGCGTCATGAAGCGTCGTGACACGTCATGAAGCGTCGTGACACGTCTTTGAGCGTCGTGACACGTCATGAAGCGTCGTGACACGTCTTGACTTAAGTACCGTTGCGAGCACCGGAAATAATAAGGAAGCGGCGGCTGGCTGGCGCTTGACTCAGTCCCTCGTCTTAGATGTTGAGACCCGTCATGTGCCAAGAGTGTCTTGCGGACCGTTATCTTCCACATACAAATGGCAACCTGTAATTTGCATATAAAACAGTAACACTCCCTGATTCATCCCGGATTATGGAGTCGTCCGACGATTAAGGTTAACCTGCGGTTATGGAGGCTGTTTAGTGGAGAATGGAGGGGTCGTGCTGGCCTCCACGGAGGCTTCTGCCGAAGCGGAGGTGGCCGTAGTCGTCGTAGTCGCCGCCGCGCTTCCCGAACCTCATGTGGCCGTACTCGTCGAACTCGCGCTTGCCGGCGGCGTCGTGGAAGTCCATCAGCTCCGGGTCTTCGAAGTCGGCCACCAGCTCCTCCACCAGCGCCGGGGTGAGGCGTCCCTCCTCCAGCTGCAGGTAGTGGAGAGTTAGTGCTGGCTGGTGGGCTGTGCCCCCTATACTGTGTCACGGTGGTCCCCTGTACTGTGACACAGTGCCCCTCTATATTGTGTCACGGTGTTCCCCTGTCCTGTGACACAGTGCCCCTCTATACTGTGTCACGGTGGTCCCCTGTACTGCGACACAGTGCCCCTCTATACTGTGACACAGTGCCCTCTATACTGTGACACAGTGCCCCCCTATACTGTGTCACGGTGGTCCCCTGTACTGTGACACAGTGCCCCCCTATACTGTGTCACGGTGGTCCCCTGTACTGTGACACAGTGCCCCCCTATACTGTGTCACGGTGGTCCCCTGTACTGTGACACAGTGCCCCTCTATACTGTGTCACGGTGTTCCCCTGTCCTGTGACACAGTGCCCCTCTATACTGTGTCACGGTGGTCCCCTGTACTGTGACACAGTGCCCCTCTATACTGTGTCACGGTGCTCCCCTGTACTGTGACACAGTGCCCCTCTATACTGTGTCACGGTGCTCCCCTGTACTGTGACACAGTGCCCCTCTATACTGTGTCACGGTGGTTCCCTGTACTGTGATACAGTGCCCCTCTATACTGTGTCACGGTGTTCCCCTGTCCTGTGACACAGTGCCCCTCTATACTGTGTCTCGGTGGTCCCCTGTACTGTGACACAGTGCCCCTCTATACTGTGTCACGGTGGTTCCCTGTACTGTGACACAGTGCTCCCTATACTGTGACACAGTTCCTCCTATACTGTTCCTCCTGAGATTACCAGTGGGGAGGAGAGGAAGCATCTGCTAGATTTGGACGTGACAAAGGCTATAAGCCCGGATGGAATCTCACCATGGATCCTTAAGGAAGGAGCAGAGGCTCGGTACCTACCACTCTCCATAGTGTACAACAAGTCACTGGTAACAGGCGAACTGCCAAAAATTTGGAAGGCGGCCAATGCAGTCCCAATATACAAGAAGGATGATAGGCAGGAGGCACTGAACTACAGGCCAGTGTCCCTAACTTGCATTCCATGCAAGATAATGGAAAAGATTGTGCGAAAAAAGCTAGTGGAACATCTGGAGCAAAAAGAACTTTGTAACACAACATCAACATGGGTTCAGAGATGGCACATCATGCCTAACAGGATTAATTGAGTTCTATGACCAGGCAACAAAAATCAGGCAAGAGAGAGAGGGCTGGGCAGACTGCATGTTTCTGGACTGCCAGAAAGCTTTTGACACAGTACCACATAAGAGACTAGTGCACAAACTGGAGATGCAGGCAGGAGTGAAAGGGAAGGTACTCCACTGGATAAGAGAGTACCTAAGCAACAGGACACAGCGAGTCACCGTGAGAGTTGAAGTCTCGGAATGGCGGGGAGTCACCAGTGGAGTCCCACAGGGATCAGTCCTTGGACCTATACTGTTTCTGATATACGTAAATGATCTTCCAGAGGGTATAGATTCGTTCCTCTCGATGTTTGCTGATGACGCGAAAATTATGAGGAGGATCAGGACAGAGGAGGATAGTATGAGGCTACAAGATGACCTAGACAAACTGAAGGAATGGTCCGACAAATGGCTACTACAGTTCAACCCAAGTAAATGTAAGGTAATGAAACTAGGAGGAGGAACTAGGAGGCCAGTCACTGGATACCGAATGGGAGATGAAGTCCTTCACGAAACGGACAGAGAGAAAGATCTGGGAGTTGATATCACGCCAAACCTGTCTCCTGAAGCCCACATCAAAAGAATAACATCAGCGGCCTATGCGAGGCTGGCTAACATCAGAACTGCTTTCAGAAACCTGTGTAAGGAATCCTTCAGAACCTTGTATACCACATATGTAAGGCCAATCCTGGAGTATGCAGCCCCAGCATGGAGTCCGTACCTAGTCAAGCACAAGACGAAGCTGGAAAAAGTTCAGAGGTATGCCACTAGGTTAGTCCCAGAACTAAGAGGCATGAGTTATGAGGACAGACTACGTGAACTGCATCTCACGTCGCTGGAAGACAGAAGAGCTAGGGGAGACATGATCACCACATACAAAATTCTAAGGGGAATTGACAGGGTGGACAAGGATGGATTATTTAAGACGGGTGGCACACGCACAAAAGAACACAGGCGGAAGCTGAGTACCCAAATGAGCCACAGAGACATTAGAAAGAACTTTTTCAGTATCAGAGTAATAAGTAAATGGAATGCACTAGGAAGTGATGTGGTGGAGGCTGACTCCATACACAGTTTCAAATGTAGATATGACAGAGCCCAGTAGGCTCAGGAATTTGTACATCAGTTGATTGACGGTTGAGAGGCGGGACCAAAGAGCCAGAGCTCAACCCCCGCAAACACAACTAGGTGAGTACTGTGACATAGTGCCCCTCTATACTGTGACACAGTGCCCCTATACTGTGACACAGTGTCCCCTATACTTTGACACAGTGCCCTCTATATTGCGACACAGTGCCTCTATACTGTGATCAAAGTGCCCTCTATACTGTGACACAGTGCACCCCTATAATGTGACACAGTACCCTCTATACTGTGACACAATGCCCCCCCCCTATACTGTGACAGTGCCCTCTATACTGTTACACAGTGCCCTCTATACTGTGACACAGTGCCCTCTATACTGTGACAGTGCCCTTTATACTGTGACACAGTGCCCCTCTATACTGTGACAGTGCCCTCTATGCTGTGACACAGTGCCCCCTATACTGTGACACAGTGCCCTCTATACTGTGACACAGTGCTAATCTATACTGTGACACAGTGCCCTCTATACTGTGACACAGTGCCCTCTATACTGTGACACAGTGCACCCCTATACTGTGACACAATACCCTCTATACTGTGACACAGTGGCACCCTATACTGTGACACAGTGCCCTCCATACTGTGACACAGTGCCACCCTATACTGTGACACAGTGCCCTCTATTCTGTGACACAGTGCCACTCTATACTGTGACACAGTGCCCCCATATACTGTGACACAATGCCCCCCCCTATACTGTGACAGTGCCCTCTATACTGTGACACAGTGCCCTCTATACTGTGACACAGTGCCCTCTATACTGTGACAGTGCCCTCTATACTGTGACACAGTGCCCCTCTATACTGTGACAGTGCCCTCTATACTGTGACACAGTGCCCCCTATACTGTAACACAGTGCCCTCTATACTGTGACACAGTGCCCCTTTATACTGTGACACAGTGCCCTCTATACTGTGACACAGTGCCCTCTATACTGTGACACAGTGCCCCTCTATACTGTGATACAGTGCTCCTCTATACTGTGACACAGTGTCCCTCTATACTGTGATACAGTGCTCCTCTATACTGTGACACTGTGGCACCCTATACTGTGACACAGTGCCCTCTATACTGTGACACAGTGCCCTCTATACTGTGACACAGTGTCCCTATACTGTGACACAGTGCCCTCTATACTGTGACACAGTGCCCTCTATACTGTGACACAGTGCCCTCTATACTGTGACACAGTGTCCCTATACTGTGACACAGTGCCCCTATACTGTGACACAGTGTCCTCTATACTGTGACACAGTGCCCTCTATACTGTGACACAGTGCCCCCATATACTGTGACACAATGCCCCCCTATACTGTGACAGTAACCTCTATACTGTGACACAGTGCCCTCTATACTGTGACACAGTGCCCTCTATACTGTGACAGTGTCCTCTATACTGTGACACAGTGCCTCTCTATACTATAACAGTGCCCTCTATACAGTGACACAGTGCCCCTCTATACTGTGACACAGTGCCCTCTATACTTTGACACAGTGCCCCTCTATACTGTGACACAGTGCCTCTCTATACTGTGACACACTGCCCCTCTATACTGTGACACAGTGCCCCTCTATACTGTGACACAGTGGCACCCTATACTGTGACATAGTGCCCTCTATACTGTGACACAGTGCCCCTATACTGTGACACAGTGCCCCTCTATACTGTGAAACAGTGCCCCCTATACTGTGACACAGTGCCCCTATACTGTGACACAGTGCCCCTCTATACTGTGACACAGTGCCCCTCTATACTGTGACACAGTGCCCTCTATACTGTGACACAGTGCCCCTCTATACTGTGACACAGTGCCCTCTATACTGTGACACAGTGCCCCTCTATACTGTGATACAGTGCCCCTCTATACTGTGACACAGTGCCCCTCTATACTGTGACACAGTGCCCCTCTATACTGTGACACAGTGGCACCCTATACTGTGACACAGTGCCCTCTATACTGTGACACAGTGCCCCTATACTGTGACACAGTGCCCCTCTATACTGTGACACAGTGGCACCCTATACTGTGACACAGTGCTCTCTATACTGTGACACAGTGCCCCATACTGTGACACAGTGCCCCTCTATACTGTGACACAGTGGCACCCTATACTGTGACACAGTGCCCTCTATACTGTGACACAGTGCCCCTATACTGTGACACAGTGTCCCCTATACTGTGACACAGTGCCCCCTATACTGTGACACAGTGCCCTCTATACTGTGACACAGTGCCCTCTATACTGTGACACAGTGCCCCTTTATACTGTGACACAGTGCCCCTATACTGTGACACAGTGTCCCCTATACTGTGACACAGTGGCACCCTATACTGTGACACAGTGCCCTCTATACTGTGACACAGTGCCCTCTATACTGTGACACAGTGCCCCTTTATACTGTGACACAGTGCCCCTATACTGTGACACAGTGTCCCCTATACTGTGACACAGTGGCACCCTATACTGTGACACAGTGCCCTCTATACTGTGACACAGTGCCCCTATACTGTGACACAGTGCCCCTCTATACTGTGACACAGTGGCACCCTATACTGTGACACATTGCCCTCTATACTGTGACACAGTGCCCCTATACTGTGACACAGTTTCCCCTATACTCTTGACACAGTGCCCCCTATACTGTGACACAGTGCCCTCTATACTGTGACACAGTGCCCCTATACTGTGACACAGTACCCCTCTATACTGTGACACAGTGCCCCTATACTGTGACACAGTGTCCCCTATACTGTGACACAGTACCCTCTATACTGTGACACAGTGCCCCCTAAACTGTGACAGAGTGACTAGTGATAACTGGGCTGAAATCCTACATACATACAGTAGTTAAGGTGTCAGGTAGTTAAGGTGTCAGGTAGTTAAGGTGTCAGGTAGTTAAGGTGTCTGGTAGTTAAGGTGTCAGGTAGTTAAGGTGTCAGGTAGTTAAGGTGTCAGGTAGTTAAGGTGTCAGGTAGTTAAGGTGTCAGGTAGTTAAGGTGTCAGGTAGTTAAGGTGTCAGGTAGTTAAGGTGTCTGGTAGTTAAGGTGTCTGGTAGTTAAGGTGTCAGGTAGTTAAGGTGTCAGGTAGTTAAGGTGTCAGGTAGTTAAGGTGTCAGGTAGTTAAGGTGTCAGGTAGTTAAGGTGTCAGGTAGTTAAGGTGTCTGGTAGTTAGGTGTCAGGTAGTTAAGGTGTCAGGTAGTTAAGGTGTCAGGTAGTTAAGGTGTCTGGTAGTTAAGGTGTCAGGTAGTTAAGGTGTCTGGTAGTTAAGGTGTCAGGTAGTTAAGGTGTCAGGTAGTTAAGGTGTCAGGTAGTTAAGGTGTCAGGTAGTTAAGGTGTCAGGTAGTTAAGGTGTCAGGTAGTTAAGGTGTCAGGTAGTTAAGGTGTCAGGTAGTTAAGGTGTCTGGTAGTTAAGGTGTCAGGTAGTTAAGGTGTCAGGTAGTTAAGGTGTCTGGTAGTTAAGGTGTCAGGTAGTTAAGGTGTCAGGTAGTTAAGGTGTCAGGTAGTTAAGGTGTCAGGTAGTTAAGAACATGACCTTTTGTGCAATTTTGTATCATGACTTAAGGTGTGTTATTGACCGTAGCTGACAAGACTGTGGTGGGCATGTGTTGATACATGTGTCCGTGTATAGTGTGTCCGTACACTGTAGGTGTGTACGTCCCGTGTGTGTGTGACTGTAGGTGTGTACGTCCCGTGTGTGTGTGACTGTAGGTGTGTACGTCCCGTGTGTGTGTGACTGCAGGTGTGTACGTCCCGTGTTTTTGTGACTGCAGGTGTGTACGTCCCGTGTGTGTGTGACTGTAGGTGTGTACGTCCCGTGTGTGTGTGACTGTAGGTGTGTACGTCCCGTGTTTTTGTGACTGCAGGTGTGTACGTCCCGTGTGTGTGTGACTGCAGGTGTGTACGTTCCGTGTGTGGTGTGAAACTGGAGGTGTGTCCATACCCTGTGTGTGTGACTGCAGGTGTGTACGTCTCGTGTGTGTGTGACTGTAGGCGTGTACGTCCCGTGTGTGTGTGACTGCAGGTGTGTACGCCCCGTGTGTGTGTGACTGTAGGTGTGTACGTCCCGTGTGTGTGTGACTGTAGGTGTGTACGTCCCGTGTGTGTGTGACTGTAGGTGTGTACGTCCCGTGTGTGTGTGACTGCAGGTGTGTACGTCTCGTGTGTGTGTGACTGTAGGTGTGTACGTCCCGTGTTTTTGTGACTGCAGGTGTGTACGTCCCGTGTTTTTGTGACTGCAGGTGTGTACGTCCCGTGTTTTTGTGACTGCAGGTGTGTACGTCCCGTGTTTTTGTGACTGCAGGTGTGTACGTCCCGTGTGTTTGTGACTGTAGGTGTGTACGTCCCGTGTTTGTGTGACTGCAGGTGTGTACGTCCCGTGTTTTTGTGACTGCAGGTGTGTACGTCCCGTGTTTTTGTGACTGCAGGTGTGTACGTCCCGTGTTTTTGTGACTGCAGGTGTGTACGTCCCGTGTGTGTGACTGTAGGTGTGTACGTCTCGTGTGTGTGTGACTATAGGTGTGTACGTCCCGTGTTTTTGTGACTGCAGGTGTGTACGTCCCGTGTTTTTGTGACTGCAGGTGTGTACATCCCGTGTTTTTGTGACTGCAGGTGTGTACGTCCCGTGTGTGTGTGACTGCAGGTGTGTACGTTCCGTGTGTGGTGTGTGACTGGAGATGTGTCCACACCCTGTGTGTGTGACTGGGGGTGTGTCCATACCCTGTGTGTGTGACTGGGGGGTGTCCATACCCTGTGACTGCAGGTGTGTACGTCCCGTGTTTTTGTGACTGCAGGTGTGTACGTCCCGTGTTTTTGTGACTGCAGGTGTGTACGTCCCGTGTGTGTGACTGTAGGTGTGTCCACACCCTGTGTGTGTGACTGGAGGTGTGTCCATACCCTGTGTGTGTGACTGGGGGTGTGTCCATACCCTGTGTGTGTGACTGGGGGTGTGTCCATACCCTGTGTGTGAGACTGGGGGTATGTCGATACCCTGTGTGTGTGACTGGGGGTGTGTCGATACCCTGTGTGTGTGACTGGGGGTGTGTCGATACCCTGTGTGTGTGACTGGAGATGTGTCCACACCCTGTGTGTGTGACTGGAGGTGTGTCCATACCCTGTGTGTGTGATTGGGGGTGTGTCCATACCCTGTGTGTGTGACTGGGGGTGTGTCGATACCGTGTGTGTGACTGGGGGTGTGTCGATACCCTGTGTGTGTGACTGGGGGTGTGTCCATACCCTGTGTGTGTGACTGGAGGTGTGTCCATACCCTGTGTGTGTGACTGGAGGTGTGTCCATACCCTGTGTGTGTGACTGGGGGTGTGTCCATACCCTGTGTGTGTGACTGGGGGTGTGTCCATACCCTGTGTGTGTGACTGGGGGTGTGTCCATACCCTGTGTCTGACGACTGGCGCTAACACTCTGGCCAGGGAGGAAGGTCTGGCTGGCGCCGACGCCGCCCGGGTCAGCAAGATGGCCGCCATCACCGCCGCCACATTCCAGCTCGTCCACTTCATCACTGATATGCGAATGTTTCAGCTGCTAAAGAGAAAAGATTTGAGAATTAAATTCCTTTGGAGATCATCACATGAGGCATTTATATATGCAACAAACAGAGCAAGAACTCGGCAATGTGACCACAAGACGTCTGGGATACTGACGTATCTGGCAGCTCTCTCAGAACTCAGACGTCGAGTGCACAATGTGTCAACTTTGACAGAGAAAAACATGCACTCCCGTGAACATTATGTTGCAGAGTGTCACCCATGTTGACTGTCCATTGAGGAGGGAAGAAGATGCACATATGCTGGTTACCACTGTGTGTGTGTATGGTCACGCCTGCGGGAACAGGTTACCACTGTGTGTGTATGGTCACACCTGCGGGTACAGGTTACCACTGTGTGTGTGTATGGTCACGCCTGCGGGAACAGGTTACCACTGTGTGTGTATGGTCACACCTGCGGGTACAGGTTACCACTGTGTGTGTGTATGGTCACGCCTGCGGGTACAGGTTACCACTGTGTGTGTGTATGGTCACGCCTGCGGGTACAGGTTACCACTGTGTGTGTGTATGGTCACGCCTGCGGGTACAGGTTACCACTGTGTGTGTATGGTCACACAGGTTACCACTGTGTGTGTGTATGGTCACGCCTGCGGGTACAGGTTACCACTGTGTGTGTGTGGTCACACCTGCGGGTACAGGTTACCACTGAGTGTGTATGGTCACACCTGCGGGTACAGGTTACTACTGACACGCCTGCGGGTACAGGTTACCACTGTGTGTGTATGGTCACGCCTGCGGGTACCTGCGGGTACAGGTTACACCTGCGGGTACAGGTTACCACTGTGTGTGTATGGTCACACCTGCGGGTACAGGTTACCACTGTGTGTGTGTATGGTCACGCCTGCGGGTACAGGTTACCACTGTGTGTGTGTATGGTCACACCTGCGGGTACAGGTTACCACTGAGTGTGTATGGTCACGCCTGCGGGTACAGGTTACCACTGTGTGTGTGTATGGTCACACCTGCGGGTACAGGTTACCACTGTGTGTGTATGGTTACACCTGCAGGGTACAGGTTACCACTGAGTGTGTATGGTCACACCTGCGGGTACAGGTTACCACTGAGTGTGTATGGTCACGCCTGCGGGTACAGGTTACCACTGTGTGTGTATGGTCACACCTGCGGGTACAGGTTACCACTGTGTGTGTATGGTCACGCCTGCGGGTACAGGTTACCACTGAGTGTGTATGGTCACGCCTGCGGGTACAGGTTACTACTGTGTGTGTATGGTCACGCCTGCGGGTACAGGTTACCACTGTGTGTGTATGGTCATGCCTGCGGGTACAGGTTACCACTGTGTGTGTGTGGTCACACCTGCGGGTACAGGTTACCACTGTGTGTGTGTATGGTCACGCCTGCGGGTACAGGTTACCACTGTGTGTGTATGGTCACGCCTGCGGGTACAGGTTACCACTGTGTGTGTGTATGGTCACGCCTGCGGGTACAGGTTACCACTGTGTGTGTATGGTCACGCCTGCGGGTACAGGTTACCACTGTGTGTGTGTATGGTCACGCCTGCGGGTACAGGTTACCACTGTGTGTGTATGGTCACGCCTGCGGGTACAGGTTACTACTGTGTGTGTATGGTCACGCCTGCGGGTACAGGTTACCACTGTGTGTGTATGGTCACGCCTGCGGGTACAGGTTACCACTGTGTGTGTGTATGGTCACGCCTGCGGGTAAAGGTTACCACTGTGTGTGTATGGTCACGCCTGCGGGTACAGGTTACCACTGTGTGTGTGTATGGTCACACCTGCGGGTACAGGTTACCACTGTGTGTGTGTATGGTCACACCTGCGGGTACAGGTTACCACTGTGTGTGTATGGTCACACCTGCGGGTACAGGTTACCACTGTGTGTGTATGGTCACACCTGCGGGTACAGGTTACCACTGTGTGTGTGTATGGTCACGCCTGCGGGTACAGGTTACCACTGTGTGTGTATGGTCACACCTGCGGGTACAGGTTACCACTGTGTGTGTGTATGGTCACACCTGCGGGTACAGGTTACCACTGTGTGTGTATGGTCACGCCTGCGGGTACAGGTTACCACTGTGTGTGTATGGTCACGCCTGCGGGTACAGGAACCTGGACACCAAATATCTTCATTGTTGACAAACACGCATGTGGTCCTGAACACACTGGGGGAACACACCTGCTGCACAACACTGCCTGGGAGAACACACCTGCTGCACAACACTGTCTGGGGAACACACCTGCTGCACAACACTGTCTGGGGGAACACACCTGCTGCACAACACTGCCTGGGAGAACACACCTGCTGCACAACACTGCCTGGGGGAACACACCTGCTGCACAACACTGTCTGGGGAACACACCTGCTGCACAACACTGCCTGGGGGAATACACCTGCTGCACAACACTGCCTGGGGGAACACACCTGCTGCACAACACTGCCTGGGAGAACACACCTGCTGCACAACACTGTCTGGGGAACACACCTGCTGCACAACACTGTCTGGGGGAACACACCTGCTGCACAACACTGCCTGGGAGAACACACCTGCTGCACAACACTGTCTGGGGGAACACACCTGCTGCACAACACTGCCTGGGGGAACACACCTGCTGCACAACACTGCCTGGGGGAACACACCTGCTGCACAACACTGCCTGGGAGAACACACCTGCTGCACAACACTGCCTGGGGGAACACACCTGCTGCACAACACTGTCTGGGGGAACACACCTGCTGCACAACACTGTCTGGGGGAACACACCTGCTGCACAACACTGCCTGGGAGAACACACCTGCTGCACAACACTGTCTGGGGGAACACACCTGCTGCACAACACTGCCTGGGGGAACACACCTGCTGCACAACACTGCCTGGGGGAACACACCTGCTGCACAACACTGCCTGGGGGAACACACCTGCTGTACAACACTGTCTGGGGGAACACACCTGTTGCACAACACTGTCTGGGGAACACACCTGCTGCACAACACTGCCTGGGGGTACACACCTGCTGCACAACACTGTCTGGGGAACACACCTGCAGCACAACACTGTCTGGGGAACACACCTGCTGTACAACACTGCCTGGGAGAACACACCTGCTGCACAACACTGCCTGGGGGAGCACACCTGCTGCACAACACTGCCTGGGGGAGCACACCTGCTGCACAACACTGCCTGGGGGAACACACCTGCTGCACAACACTGTCTGGGGAACACACCTGCTGCACAACACTGCCTGGGGGAGCACACCTGCTGCACAACACTGCCTGGGGGAACACACCTGCTGCACAACACTGTCTGAGGGAGCACACCCGCTGCACAACACTGTCTGGGGGAGCACACCTGCTGCACAACACTGCCTGGGGGAACACACCGGCTGCACAACACTGTCTGGGGGAGCACACCTGCTGCACAACACTGCCTGGGGGAACACACCTGCTCCACAACACTGCCTGGGGGAACACACCTGCTGCACAACACTGCCTGGGAGAACACACCTGCTGCACAACACTGCCTGGGAGAACACACCTGCTGCACAACACTGCCTGGGGGAACACACCTGCTGCACAACACTGCCTGGGGGAACACACCTGCTGCACAACACTGCCTGGGGGAACACACCTGCTGCACAACACTGTCTGGGGGAACACACCTGCTGCACAACACTGTCTGGGGAACACACCTGCTGCACAACACTGCCTGGGGGTACACACCTGCTGCACAACACTGTCTGGGGAACACACCTGCAGCACAACACTGTCTGGGGAACACACCTGCTGCACAACACTGCCTGGGGGAACACACCTGCTGCACAACACTGCCTGGGGAACACACCTGCTGCACAACACTGCCTGGGAGAACACACCTGCTGCACAACACTGCCTGGGAGAACACACCTGCTGCACAACACTGCCTGGGGAACACACCTGCTGCACAACACTGCCTGGGGGAACACACCTGCTGCACAACACTGCCTGGGGGAACACACCTGCTGCACAACACTGCCTGGGGGAACACACCTGCTGCACAACACTGTCTGGGGGCTGCACAACACACCTGCTGCACAACACTGTCTGGGGAACACACCTGCTGCTGGGGGTACAACACAACACTGCCTGGGGGGGGAACACACCTGCTGCACAACACTGCCTGCACAACACTGTCTGGGGAACACACCTGCAGCACAACACTGTCTGGGGGAACACACCTGCTGCACAACACTGCCTGGGAGAACACACCTGCTGCACAACACTGCCTGGGGGAGCACACCTGCTGCACAACACTGCCTGGGGGAGCACACCTGCTGCACAACACTGCCTGGGGGAACACACCTGCTGCACAACACTGCCTGGGGAACACACCTGCTGCACAACACTGCCTGGGGGAGCACACCTGCTGCACAACACTGCCTGGGGGAACACACTTGCTGCACAACACTGTCTGAGGGAGCACACCCGCTGCACAACCTTGTCTGGGGAGCACACCTGCTGCACAACACTGCCTGGGGGAACACACCGGCCTCACAACACTGTCTGGGGGAGCACACCTGCTGCAAAACACTGCCTGGGGGAACACACCTGCTCCACAACGCTGCCTGGGGAGCACACCTGCTGCACAACACTGCCTGGGGGAACACACCTGCTCCACAACACTGCCTGAGGGAACACACCTGCTACACAACACTGCCTGGGAAGCACACCTCCTGCACAACACTGCCTGGGGGAGCACACCTGCTGCACAACACTGCCTGGGGGAACACACCTGCTGCACAACACTGTCTGGGGGAACACACCTGCTGCACAACACTGCCTGGGAGAACACACCTGCTGCACAACACTGTCTGGGGAACACACCTGCTGCACAACACTGCCTGGGGTACACACCTGCTGCACAACACTGTCTGGGGAACACACCTGCAGCACAACACTGTCTGGGGAACACACCTGCTGCACAACACTGCCTGGGAGAACACACCTGCTGCACAACACTG